CGTCGCGGGTCTCGGGGCGGGCATGGACTTGACAAAAATTAAAAGGGGCGGGGCGGGATTTAGGAAAACCCGCTCCAAACCCGCCTCGTTGCCATCCCTACTTGACACTCCTCGAAGATATTTCATATACGTGTCTATAAATAATAAAAAAATATTCTTAGTTGGTACTCACACACACTTGTCTCCTTTGATACTTGAAATCCTGACCTCCCTTAGGAAGTAAGAGGCTGTACCGCTAATTTGGACACTTTTCAAACACTTCGTCGACACTTTCCAAACATTTTTAATACAAGTTTACCCAATAATCTTAAAAAGAATATAAATACTATCATGACACATTGGTGAAATAATAGCATATATGATATAAAAATCATTACAATTTCTAATTTATTTCAGAGCAACTCTTAGTATAAAAATTATAAATGAATTAAAGTTTTATAATACTATTATTGAATAGATGTATGAAAATAAAATTTTATATTTTTATATAACCGTATCTATAACGTACCCGTGTCTTACTTTTTAAAAATTTGACGTATCATCGTATCTGTGTCATATCGTGTCCGTGTCCCTTACTCGTATGTTATTTGCCTTAAAGCAATGTTTTCCTTTAAATCATTTAAATCTGTTTCATCTTAAATTTTACATTTTTTTTTTTTTTTTCTCTTCACATTGTTGGTAGTATCGTCACCGGAGGAATGAGGTGTTAAATGCACGGTATAAATTCAAGGATGTTATTTTTGCACTCTACCCCTTATTACTATTACTCAGACTTGGCATGATTTGAAAAGAAAATGACAAATATGACATTACATAGAAATCAAATGAATATTTTTATTGGTTATTTGCCTTTAAACTCTACACCCAATACAAATCACCTATACTGGCTATTCATATAATATTACTTCTAAGAGCATCTGCACCGATCTCTCCAAATTTTGACTCTCAAAAAATACAATTTCAGCTTTTCCAAAAGCCATGTCGATAATTCTCCGAACCACGTCAACAACTTTGGCTCTCCAGAAACAAGCACTCCATTAGACTCTCCGAATTTTCGCTCTCTAAATGACAATGTGTATCAAATAATATCCTTATAAATTATTAAAAGGTTGTGATTCATATTATAACTTTAAACAATATATTATCTATTATATGGATTAATAAATTAGAATTGATGTTATAACTTTAAATAATATATTATCCATTATATGGATTTTAAAAGTTAAGATTAATGTTATAACTTTAAACAATACATTATCCATGAATTAAAAGATAGGATTGATATTATGTTTCACGATTTGCCAACAACTTTCTAACTTAAATTCGGTGTATGTTTGACTACAAAACACTTCTTTAGCTTTTGTCATCTATACGAAAAAATTAAGAATAAATTAAAAGCTGAATGTTTAAAATATATATGAGTTTTATTTAAAACAATAAATAATTCATCATATTATCAGTATTGAAGTTACTAGGGCGATTCATTTCGATATTAGTCATGCACTCAAAAAATTTGATAATTTGTTTTAAAATGGCGGACTAATGATTCATCAAAGCTCTTGCATTTAGCCAAGATGGAAAACCAAGATGTTGTACATTATTTTCGAGGATTCGCTCTCATAACTTCTTCTTATTTTTGATCTGCCCCCGTAATCGCATTGGATGTAATGGACATCCACACCCAACATAAAGCCTCATTTTCGGCCGTGGACCAATTTGGATCTCGAATAATTGGTTGTTGTGTAGAAGGTTTGCAGTTATTTGATCGATGATCCATGGAATCAGATTGAGTTTGAAAATAATAGATAAAATTGAGAAAGTGGAAGATGAAGTAGCTTAAATGGTAGATAATAGAGATGGGTTAGATGTGAGGTGAATTGTGGTAGGAGCTGGGGCATTTATAGAAGAGAATTAGTTTTTTTAAGGTTTTTTTTTTTAAAAAAGTTTTTAAAAATTTTGATTTTTTTTTTTTATAAAAAATTATAGCTATTAAGGCATTATTTGTGTCAGCTAAACCGTGTCTTAAAGCCCATAAGTGCATGATGTGGCAGAATTTTAAAAAATAAAGCAAAAAAGTTTAAAAAATTAATTTTAAAGGGAAAAAAGAAAAAAGAAAAAAAAAAAAGGTTTTTAAATTTATTTTTGATCCAAAATCAATTTTTTTTAGGTAAATCACACTAACACGCCAGGAGCTTAAGTCAAATATTATCTAGATGAAGAATTTGGTTTTAACTTTCACTCATATTTGGAATAGTGGAATCGTATTTCACTTATATCCCAAATGTAACTTTTTAGTGGTGTCAGGGTACTTTTAAGTGTAAAATGACTATACTACCTTTTTTGATGTGTGTTGACTTTGTTTCCAATGTAAAATGACTTAACTACCCGAGACTTATTTTAAATTACCAACTAAATGTATATTACACATTATATTATACCTATTATATATATAAAGTCCTGATCTCTTGCTCCCTATGGAGTAAGAAAATTAATTCACACTTTTTATATAGACCGTTAGATTAAATCTAACGGTTATTTTTCAAATCCACCTACAGTATTTTTTTTTAACACAAAACCACTCTCACCTTATTTTTAGTTTCTATATTTAATTTTACCATTATCACCTATTAACAATAAAAAGGTAATTATCAAAATAAAAAAAGAAACCTTTGAAAAAAAATAATACCAGTATATTTTACTTAAAAAATTGTTTTTATTTAGATGTTTCTTTGAAAGAAAAATAATACTCGTATCTTTCAATTTTGAAATAACAGTATGATATTATAGCCTTTTCCTAAAAAAATTTTTTTGTTCTCCGTATGAGTAAATTAATATACTTCTCTAGTATAAGTAAAGTTACCAACAAATATACTGTAATATTGCATTTTGAAATATCGAATTGATTTATTGGACTTGAAATTGAAGAAAATTTCATTTAAAGTTTGAACAAAAATTCTTTCTATTTCAATTTGAAGTTGAGCATTTGGTGAAATTCATTATTAAATTTGTGAATTTGTGAGTTTGATTATTGGATGATGATGATTTTCAACAGTTAACCAATTGAATAACTCCAAAACCCACTCGCCACCGGAATCCAGTGCAATTGCCGCCTCCACGCTCGACCTCACACTTCCATCATAAATAACTACATTGTAAATCTGACCTAAATTTAATCGCCATGTTTTAACAAACACTCAATCGCAAATCCGAAGTAGTAGTTGTAACCTAAGTCACATGATTCGTACGCTGATCCATGTTTTTGGAATGGATTCGCTGAAAATTCGCGAACTTGAAATTTGAGTTCACGGATTCTAATTTGTAATATGTGGATTGGGCCAGATGGGGCGGATTCACCTCTTGCGAGCACAATAATGATTATTGGACTGGGCCAAATGGGCCGGATTTTGACCAATCAAGCTTCCTGTGAGCATGACAGTGTGATGGCATTATTTATAAAAAAATTTCAGGAAGTATCGAACACGGACCCATTCAATTACCGCTAGGCCACTACGGTGCATCTGGGCTTCCAAATAATCAAAACCCATTTTCGATGTTTTGGATAGTCACACAATAATATTAAATTAAAATACAATAAAATGTAAATATCTTATTCTCGATTTAATAGTACTGTAGTGTTGTTGTATCTTCATATAATATGTTTTGCAGATATAATGTGTTATTCGAGTATTGCACTGTTGTTACATTCTTGATATAATGTGCTGCATTTTTTATTTAGTATTTTTTTTATTGTCAATATAAAATGTACCGAATGGTACCCAACCCAAAACGTACACGAAAGAATCTCATTGTAGATGTGGAATTTGCTGTTCTCCAAACATAAAATAGAAAAAAAATTAGAACAAAAAAAAAATTAAAAAAATTACCATTCCCATTCTCATCACCATCCAAGTTAATTTTTAAAAATCAATTTAGGATAAAAAAAATTCAAAACCTAAACTGAAAGCACAACACAAAAGAAAAGAAAAAAACTAATTACCATTCCCACACCATTATCATCAAAGGAATTTAATAGTTCTTGAAGTTTTAATAATTATTTAATAATTTTTAATGCTAACAACATCAATTACATGTTCAACTCTATTTTTTTTTTTTTTTTATTTGTGAAATCTTTCGTTACTACTTATAAAGATCAATATCAAACTTTTATGAGAGATAGAAGAGAAAGTTAATATAAAATAGAGAAAGACTTTAAAAAGGCAGGAAATAGGAGAAAAAATAGGGGTTAACAAATAAAAAAAGTGGAGTGTAAATATGACTTCTCTAAAATAAACCAGTTTATGATTTTAAATATAAAAAAATTGTTCTTTCTTTCTTTATTTTATTTTATTTTATTTAAGGGAGGGGATAGAAACAAATTATTATATAACATATATATAAATTGATATTATAAGTACCTGTTTATTGGTATAATTTTTTTTTTCTTTTTTGAAAGTTATTTATTGTCATAAATTTATATGATATATAAGTATATATTGTCTTTTAATTATAAACATTATGAAATATCATATATATATATATATATTACTATATTTACACTATGGTCCAAAATTTAAGACCCTGTCAAATTAAAGGTAATAACGATGGCCTTGCCCCAAATCGGCAATAATCGTTGTTTTTTCTCAATTGTCTCAAAGAGAACGTTGAAAATTATTCTTTATTAGATTACCATAATAGCTGTAGACTTGTCTCACTATATATTGGATTGTTTTATTATTATTCAAAAACATCTCTTTCCATTACGTGAAAAAAAAAAAAAAAAAAGAAAAAGAAAAAAGTGCAGTGTACTTGTGTACACCAAAATCTATATTTATAATCATATGAAATTTCTGTAGAATCTTCCCACTTTCAACTACACGTCACACAATCTTAGTTCCGAATGCCACGCATCAACCTCCGTGTTTCTTACGGGTATATCTTGGATAAAGCCTCTCCTCTCTCTGGCTTTCGCTTTAGCTTTCTCAAATCCCCTTCCTCGAAAGCTCACAAGTCCACATATCCAAAATCGCGGTTTTATTAGCTCTAAAGTCTAATCTCTCTCTCTAAAACACATTCTCTCTCCTAATTAATATAGTTAACATATTTTCCAGTGGTGTATATATTATGGTTGGTGACCTGAACTCCAGCTGCTGATCATTGACTTCTTCCCTAGATCATGGGGTGCTCGTTTGCCCACTTGGGGTCCCCTCAACTCCCTTGTCTGGATTATTTCAATTCTCTCTTAAAACCAACCGTCTGTCATCACCATTCTTGAGGGTTAGCACTCAACTCACAAGATTGTTCCTTCACTCATACTCAGATTATTCACAAGATTGTTCCTTCACTTATACTATCAGATTATAAGAGGTGAGTCTTTATCCTTATTCTATATATTTAGTTATTTATTTTTGTTGAATTTGAATTTTATGGGTAGCAATATGAATTGGTTGTGCTTCTCAGTTAGTTTCTGAAATTGAGATTATCAATTTGATATTTTACATGAAGGTGTGTGGATTCAAGGAATAGTTTGGGTTGAACTGTAATAATACTTGGGCGTTGACATTTCAAGTTTTCTCTCTCTTCTTTTCTTTTTCGTTTATTTTCTTTATTTTAAATTGTTTGGGTAAAGTGTGTAATCTCAAATTTGGTGAATTGGGTTTTCTGAAGATTCCTTAAGGAAGTTTAGTAGATGAAACTTATGGTGATCATAAGAACATGGTTTTGAAATTTGGTTACTTGAAAAGTTGGGTCATGGATGGTTTTCATAATTGAACTACTTATTTTAAGATTGCTTTATGAAATGGTTGCCTATGTAAAATGAATATTGAGTTGACCCTCCATTAAGTGTTTTTTTTTTTTTGGAGAAGACTTTTATCTAATATCTATTATTTCTTTGTTGTTTATGTTTTTATTTTTATTTTTGGAATTTATGATGCATGGATTTTGGGTGTGATTTGAATTGTTATTGATGACCTTGTTTTTAGTAGTTTATGATTAAGTGTTTTTATTACGGCTTCAATTAATGGTTCTTATACATATTTGTATCTGTTTTGCTTATGGCTGTGGATATGCAGTGAGGAAATTGAAGTTTTTGGGGCTATGACTTGTTTCCCCTTCTCCAGTAGAGACAAAACTAAAACTGAAGAATCAAAGTCGAAATCGGTATTGGTTCACTCCACTTCGACATCAACTGAACGTGAGGTGAGGAAATCTGGCTCTGACTTCAATTCTCAGAATGTCTCGGATGTTAGCACAGAGTTCAATACCAGAATCTCATTTACAAGTTTGTCTCAAAGACATAGCAATCTCAGAGTATTTACATATGCGGAGTTGAAGACAGCCACAAAAAATTTTAGTCGCTCCCTTATGCTTGGAGAAGGTGGGTTTGGGGGAGTATACAAGGGCGTGATACGGGATATTGAAGATTCAAACAAAAAAATTGAAATTGCTGTTAAACAACTCAGCAGAAGGGGGTTGCAGGCAAGGTTTCTTCCTTTTCAATTTAGGTCATCGCACTGGTATTATGTCTTCAAATTTGTGTTTGAAAATAGACAAATTGCATCGAATCACACACTGTAGATTGAATACAAGAACAACACCGTGCATTAGTTTTGAGAACAACAATGAAGTTAGAGATAGTTGGTAAGGGACATTTTAATTATCAATGATAATGGGAGTAAACATGCTAGATTGTACCCTAAAAATTATTGATCTGGCTTTTGACATTAATTTACGCAACCGTGCATTAGTTTTGAGAACAACAATGAAGTTAGGATTAGTTGGTAAGGGACATTTTAATTATCAATGATAATGGGAGTAAACATGCTAGATTGTGCCCCAAAAATTATTGATCTGGCTTTTGACATTAATTTACGCTGTCATGCTGAAGTTTATATTGGAGTGGCACCAAATATTTTGAGATAATAATCTTTTGTTTGTTGAATTACAACACAGTGTATGCAGTATACCTAATATCTCCTTTAGTGTATCACCTCAGAGTCAATCCGTGTTAAGCCATCACTTTTGTCATCGGTGCTTTAGCCTTTTATCTTGTATCTGTTTTTTGCTTTATTTTTGTATTTGGGGTCTTCTTTTGCACTTTGATCTCTTTTCTATCCACTGATTCTGGAAATCTTTAGATATTCTTCATCTATTTAATCTTTATATCATGCAAACAATTATAGTGCTTCCCTGACCATTGGATTTACTTACCTAAAATAGATATAGTTTCTCTATGCTATATAGAGAACCTTCATATTTCTCATATCGGTAAATACTGATCATATTGTCTTATTTGGTTGAAAATTTATTGTATTCTTTTGATGTGCATGTCAATTTCTCAATAAAGTCCAGGAACATGTGCTTAAATGGGGTATTAGCAATCAATTAATTTGGGGTATCTTCTTTTTCCTTAAAGATCTTCTTGGAGAACCATCAAATGGGAAAAATGATGTTACTTTTTTCTGGTAACCCATGTTTGCAACGATCAGGTAGAGTGGGCAGTGATGGACCCAGAAAATTTGGTGAGGGGGGGCGAATTTTTAATTTGTGGGTCCAAAATTATATGATGGGTTCATTTTTGTAATTTTAATAGGGTTTTTTTTCATAAATTTTAAAAAAATTTAAGTATAAAATGAAAAAAAAAAAAATCAGTGGGGCAAATTATAATTATAGTGGGGGCATCTTCATAAATTATCAATATTTGAAGTATAAAATGATAAAAAAAAAGAATCCAGTGGGGGCGAATTGTAATTTTAGGGGGGGCATTTTCATAAATTTTAAAAACATTAGAGTATAAAATGAAAATATTAAAAATTCAGGGGGGGCATCTGCCCCCCTAGTCCCCTGCTGGGTCCGTCCCTGAGAGTGGGCTTCGGTAGACTTGCCCATCAATAAGTTGGTGATCTTGAATTTCCAGAGCTTTTTATTTGAAACCTTTACCGCCAAAGTTGTTATTTATCTCATTCTTCTCCAAGTCTTCCAGATGCTTCAGACTTGGAAAACTTATATTGGCCTCCTAATTACAGTATGTTTTAAACTAGACTGAAATTAATCTGGGTTTTTTCTTCTTTTCCTTTCTTTTCTTCCTTCCTTTTTTCATAGTGCTTGTTAAATTATTTACTTTCTCCCATGTGATTAATGTTCTTTTCCTATATGTAGCCTTATTCTGTTCTTTTGAAATATAAATTTTCTTCAAATATCTTCCTTAGATTCCCATCGTTTATCTCACAGGGGCACAAGGAATGGGTGACAGAAGTAAATGTCCTTGGGGTTGTTGAACATCCGAATCTTGTCAAACTTGTAGGTTATTGTGCTGAGGATGATGAAAGAGGGATCCAACGTCTTCTGATTTATGAATATATGCCCAACAGGAGTGTGCAAGATCATTTATCAAGTCGATTTCAGACACCTCTTTCTTGGACTACAAGACTAAAAATAGCCCAGGACACTGCTTGTGGCTTAGCTTACCTCCATGAACGAATGGATTTTCAGGTATTTATTTTTTTCTTATTGCCAGGTTGTTGCTATTCCATTGATATATGGTCATCTATTAATTTTTTGTTAATGATAGAAATTGAACTGAAGGCAGGCCTTGGCGCAATGCTAAGGTTGCTCCATTGTGACCTGGAGGTTACGTGTTCGAATGAAAAACAACCTCTCTGCATGCGGAGGTAAGGCCCTGCATCTAATCCTCCGCGGACCCGCAATGGCCCTTCTATGAATTGGACCCTTAATTTCACTCCTCGCTTTTTGACACCGTGCCATCATTTTTCTAACAGCTTTGGCTTACTGTGGTGGGTGATACTATACATTTGCACCTCCCACATTGTCTTATATCAGATGTATGATGATTTATGGAATTTTTTGGGTTGCCTGATATGGTTCAGAAAAGGGAAAAAAGTTAACACTAGAGATGTATTTAGACGGTTTTGTAAAAGAATGTGGGCAAAAAAGAACTTTTTATCAAAATAAGCAGTAGCAGGACATGGAATGGATGCTATGGTTCTGGTATTGATCAACACAAGTTTTGCAAACAAAATTCTTCAATATTTGTTAGCTAAAACAGGCCAACTTTAATTATTTGTATCAATGTCTCAGGGAAGGCTTTGTTTGTAGTTCATTCATTGAGTTTTTTAAAATTATGAACAAACTCTAGGTAGGCTCTAGTCCTCAAAGGAGGGTTTCTACTGGACACTTTGTGTGCACCTGAGTTTTGTCTACCTTAGCGTTTTCTTTAAACCCTTCAATATTTGTCTCTCTTCCTCACACCCAATTCTAAGGTCTCTCATTCTTATTCTCGATTCTGTTGACATCAAAAGATGTCAAATCGAATACCTACCAATGAGAATAATTGAGAACATGTAAAATAAATTAGAAATTTTGTAACAGATTTTGAAAACAATAACAGTTCTTGCTTGAACTTTCTCAAATAACTTGTTTTGATTATAACTTTATATGGCAAAGTGAAGTTGCTAACTGAGTCAATTGTCTTTTTGACACTCCTCTCAGAGTCTCAGTTTGATGCATGACTTTGTTGACATATAGTTGGGTCAACTTCAAATCCCTATCCAAGCTGTTGTTCAAATCCTCGTGTTGAGTCAGCCACTCAATCGTATGTTATACTTACAGTATTTGCAACTGTCATTGCACGAAAGTTGAGCAGTAGGTGGCCAAGGACCATTAAGCTAGGAAGCCATGGGGTGGGGAAAGAGTGCGTGCATCTGAGAGAGAGAGAGAGAGAGAGGGAGGTTTGAGGTGTGGTCGCTCGATATCTCTGTCCTCCATCTTCATCTTCCTCTAAGACAAAAATTACCGCTCAAGGCAGAGGACTATTTAAGGTGGTTGTGCTTGCGGAAATGGATTTATTCAGGGAAAGGGTTGCATTAAAATGCAAGTCTATTTTTGTCTCTTCCCACTACATTATAGTTTCCCGTGTCTCCTTCTCATCCTTGTGTTATGAGGCCTTCAAACTGTCATGTTGGTGATCTTTCTTCCTTTTTCGCATGCAAAACCCACTATGAGACCCTGCTACATTGTGGATGTACTCTGTTACAAAGAAATTGTAGATTGCACATCGAGCACCAAAAGTTTTAGAGATGAAAGGAGAGCTTTGATGGGTCTTGATTAAGAAAATGTTTTAGAGAGAGAGTTATGATGGGTATTGAATCTTTTGATTATCAGAAAGATTTTAAGAGAGCAGTTTTAGAGAGAAAAGAGGACAACTTAGTCTTTTCACAAAATTTGATTTTCTTAACCTTAAAACATTGTCAATGTTAATTTTAAAATTGTAAAATCACACCTTGTGTTAACGCCATCTAACATAAATTTGAGAGGTCAGTCTAATATTTGAAAACACAGGTTTTTTTAGAGCACAGCAGAGGACGTTGTAATTTCACAAACCTCTGGGGAGAGATATGTAGTTTCCCTAAAATACTTTGTCATGAACTCGAGGTTCTAATCCTGGGTTATAATAGTTCTTAGAGCAGTCCTTCATTAACATTGAATTTGTTGCTTGCAAAAAGCCCAATGAATTAACAGGTTTACTTCTAAACTTAAATGGGCACTTTCAACACTGAACAGAGTAGTTCTTTTGCTTTCAGTTGTAACTTTCTACAAGAAACACAATACCTCTGTTTTCACTGTTGTCAAGTAGAGTGAAATAAGGTCATGCTTAAACTTTAAAGGGCAAAAGGGTCATGCTTTATTGGCCAAATGGACTGATTGAACATTTGAACATGAAATGAATCTCAGCCCTTTCCCGGACCATGGTCGTTAGATCCACTGTAGTGATATAATGGACTGGTATTGTATAATTTTAGACCATAGGTATAAATCCAAGACAGGTTCTTTTAAAACATCCAACTTGGAAACTAGATTTTGATGATATTATCTTGTGGAATAGGGATAGTAACAGTATTTAAACATGTTACCAACCACATCACTTTGTATGGTTTACCTCAAGATGTTAAAGCTTTTATGGTACCGAACTGATAAATGACAACCTGAGAACCTCGCTGGAGGGTTAGGATTAGAAGGAATGTAAGACAGTCCCAAAAAAGATTACACAAGTGCACAAAATAGGCATTCACTCCAATAGAGAAAGGAAAAATTGAGCAAACATGCTTAATGCCAAAGTTATCACTGCACAAAGTTTCAGATCCAACCTTGACTTTTGGATCTTCAGGACAAGAATGAAAGTAGGAGACGAGAGTATAAAAGTGCTCATTGGTATATTTTTGTGGCAATGAATGTGAGAGAAACCAATAATCGTACCTCACCTATTGTTCCCCGAAGGCGTTGTATAAGCTTAGTTTGAAATATAATCACTTTTAAAAAGTTTAAAATATTCATATGAAATGAAGGTGTACAAGAGTATTATCAAAGATGAAACATTGGAAGAATTGGTGCATTTTACTTGTTAGAGGAGAGATGCTAAAGGAGCTGACCTTCAAGGGAGTTAGTTGGGTTCTGTAGGTCAATATAAACTCAGAATTGGTGCATTTTACTTGTTAGAGGAGAGAAGCTAGATGATTTACATTATTTTGGCGTTGTATAAGCTTACTTCGAAATATAATCACCTTTAAAAAGTTTAAAATATTCATATGAAATGAAGGTATACAAGATTATATCAAAGACGAAAAATTGGAAGAATTGGTGCATTTTACTTGTTAGAGGAGAGATGCTAAAGGAGCTGACCTTCAAGGGAGTTAGTAGGGTTCTGTAGGTCAATATAAACTCAGAATTGGTGCATTTTACTTGTTAGAGGAGAGATGCTAGACGATTTACATTATTTTGGCAGAGTACATGTAGTGAATAAAACAAAAAGGAAGAAGTAATAAATGGCTAATAGACTCATGCAAATTTATGAGTAGTAACATATGCCCAAACTGCCCATCTGCATTGTGGATCATCCACACCTAACATTAAACTCATACACAGGATATTATTATCCCTATGACGGAGCTCTCTCTCTCTCTCTCCCTCTTGCACGCGTGCATGCAACATGACCTTGTCTCACTGAACTACTAGGTTTAAGATGTTATAATAGTATTAGATACAGTCATCTCGAAATTCGATGCTGATTGACCTCTGGGCATTATATTTTTAAATTCCTGGCTAAAATTTCCCACTTCTATTGCCAGAGATCATGTGCCTTGGGGGTGAACTGCACCTGATCTTTTATGGAATCTTGAATGTAAAGGCTGTCAGATGTTGGGAGAAGAAATCCTTTTCTTCTAACCCCTTTTAATGTGAATATGGATTTTACAAAGCACATCAATGATGTTGTGGATTATAGTACAAGAATGTTTGTAAAGCTTGACATCTTTTTTTGTTACTTCATTCATATGTGCTTATTTCTTCTTTCAGTGTATATATTTATATATATATATATTTTAAATTTATATATATCTCTCTCTACTGCAATCACAAAGTATCCCAGAATTCCTTCTGTTATTTCAATTTTCTGAAATTCTTGACATCATATCGCTGGCTTATCATTGAGAGTATAGGTACTGAGATGGGTGGTGTTTTAGTAAGCTTCAGTGTTTAGGAGTGGTTTGGGTTGGGCAAAGGAGGGATGCGGGAATGGTAATGGTTTAATAAGTTTTTTTATAGAGATTACAAAATTCTCTCTACTTAATCGTTGATGGTCGTATGAAAAGCCCACAATATTTTCCTAAAGGCAATTTTGTGTTATATTGGCACAGATTATTTTCAGAGATTTTAAGTCTTCAAACATTCTCCTGGATGACCAATGGAATGCAAAACTTTCAGACTTTGGATTAGCCAGGCTGGGTCCTTCCGATGGTTTTAGCCATGTCTCAACGGCGGTAAGTTCATACGACATTTTCCTTACTTCAATATATCACCATTCTTTTCTTTATCTTTTTCCCCTTATTTTGTGCAAAGACGTATTATTATTATTATTATTATTATCAATTCAGATGATTTCATTTGTTCGAAGTATTTGACAATTGATGATTTCATTTGTTCGAAGTATTTGACATCATCATCATCATCATCATCAATTCAGATGATTTCATTTGTTCGAAGTATTTGACCTTTTTTGGGGACCATCATCATCATCATCATCATCATCATCAATTCAGATGATTTCATTTGTTCGAAGTATTTGACCTTTTTTGGGGACCATTCAAATATTACTTTTCAATGATAATCTAAAAGTTCATTTGTTTCCTTAATTCCTTTCATGCATTTTTAACTGTACAAAAATCACCATTGTGAGAATGCATTTGAAATATTTGAAAGGAATGAATTGACCTAAGATCCAAACAGGTTGTAGGAACTGTAGGATATGCGGCCCCAGAATACGTCCAAACTGGGCGCCTCACATCCAAGAGCGATGTGTGGAGCTATGGAGTCTTCCTCTATGAACTCATCACGGGTAGGCGTCCTTTGGATCGAAATCGACCTAAGAACGAGCAGAAACTCTTGGATTGGGTCAGGCCACACCTTTCTGACATAAATAAGTTTCAACTCATCTTGGACCCTCAGCTAGACGGGAAATACTCCCTCAAGTCTGCTCAAAGGCTAGCAGCCATAGCTAACAGGTGCTTAGTGCGGCAACCAAAAAGTCGCCCCAAGATGAGTGAAGTCTTGGTTATATTGAACCGGGCTGTGGAGCCAACAGAAATTGGAAGCCCTCAACCCCCTCTGAAGAGTCCCACTCCAAAAGATGCTCGCAAAAAGACCACGAGAGAAGATCTGAAGAGAAGGTTTCTCGAGGTGGTTTGTATGGCGAACATGGAGACCTAAGCTCTTGAGGACTACTTAAATTGTTGCAGATTTTCTTGTCACGTGGGTGAACAAAGCTCATGCAGAAGGGCTGGCTCATTCGTTGAACGTTCATCCTGTTTTGATCTTTATGTGTTTGGTGCAATACAATTTGTACAGCGTTCAAGTAAAATTTTACAATATGTGAGTTATTCTAAAGAATGAATGTTTCAGCTGAAAAAAAAAAGCATAGATATTTCTTCTCGAACAATTATATACGAATAAATAATTGTAATTCTAATTTAGCAAATGAAATTTTTTTATTTTTATTATTATTATTTTTTTAATTTCCTTACTTCCTGAATTGGATGATTTCATGATAAAAAAATAAATTAATAAAATACAAAAATATGGAATACATCTCTCAACGTCCAAGTCACTTATTCAGTAACAATGTGTTACAAATAATGAGACTTGCTACGATTATGATGGTAACACATTTTTACATGTCTAATAAATTCAATTGAGATTCAACTAAACTAAATAATGATTTAGTTTTGCCTTCTTGGTGTAATTTAATTGGAATAAGTCTTAAAGGGTTCATTGCCATAAACTTTGAATTGTTAATTAAAGAATCAATTAAAGATCAAAGTTTAAAAACACAGTTTTGAAATTGATTCTGATTAAACCGAGTCACTTTGAAAGAGATCTCAAATAAGCTATTTCTAGTAAAAAGATTATGTCTATTTATTTCTTTATATAAAGAAATTTGTGAAATTATTCACACACACCAAGGCACATTTATATGATATTTTTTCAAATTTGTGAACTTAGACTCATTAAGAGTAATATCTTAAGGTAAGAAATTCAAACTTATATTCAAAAAAATGTAAGTTGCAAAGCAGTAAAAAAATATATGCTTGAAAAAAAAAATTATGTTTTTGCAGTTGAAAAGAAACGAAAATTTTTCAATGAGATGGCTGCAAAAAGTTTCTTATGAAAAAAGTTACCACTAGATCAGACCGAAAGCTACCTTGACTTGAAAAAAAACACAGAATAAGGAAAATAGTTGGCTACTCATTAGAGTGAAATCCGCCATAGAAAAAAAATAGAAGAAGAAGGGATTTCAGGAAGAAAACCTCGGCATGTTTAGGTCTCTCTCTCTATATATATTCTGAATATCACCATAAAATTTAAAAAAATAACAAAAATATTTTTATTTCTTCATAATTTTTTTGTTATTTGCATTTATTTATTTGTTTGATTATATGAGAGGTCATACATGGTTAACGAGGACTTGAAATTACAAAAGGTGCAATTTATGGCATACTTAGATATATCGATCCAAGCTCAATCGATCGACCCAAGACAGTACATCAATCGACACTCAATGTTGCTCAATTTTAGAGAGTTTGCAAATCCTTGATCGAACATCTGCCCTCCTTGATTGATCAAAACACCTTTAGTTCAATTGAAGAATATACAAGTTTTTGTCTAGAAGGTCAAAGTTCGAATCAAATTATTTTTAGCGACGGACAATTATTCAATTGTCTAATAGGTAGAGTGATCTATCCATCTAATTGTATCAATCTTGTTCTGCTCGATGAAATTTTTTATTTCGAGCTACCCAACACGGAAATAGTACCTTGATGGAAGGGTTTGGGACCAAATCCCTTCTGTTTTAATTTTTATTTTCTTTTCTCTAAATCATCATACATGGGGGATGAATATGATTTTATAGCATTGAGAAGCTAATCTGTACAAAATCCTGTTTGATTTGATTTGATTTGTCTATATTAACGGATTTCTTAACACCGTGTGAAAATTCACTAGTTAGTAGTTGCGATTGTCCCAAAACCCATTAGATTTGTATTTGTATTTCTCAACTCTTTATCTAATAAATTTTTATTTCTCAATCCAATAAATTTATTTTTGTATTTCTGTTATACCAATCATATTCAGCATTATCTTCCATTACAATTGATTTATGTTTTGAAAAATCTAATTTTAGTTTCTTAAATTTATAGTTTCTTATCGCAGTACATGTTTTGCATTTGATTTATAAAATATTGAATGATTGAACAGGATCAAACATGACTTTGAGAATAAACAGATTGGAACCGATGTAGTATCTCCCTACATCTATACAACATTTATCTAATTTAAAAAATTAGTAAGAATCCAATATTCATCAATGAGTTTAATTTTAGGATTAAAACTATGATTCTACAGTAACTAAATCTAGATGGCATACTATAAAAAACTGACGAGCCTCTAACTAACTATAAATATACGAGTCCTAACTTCCAACTTAATGTACTGATATGATGAATTATCATTAATGATTAAGATGTATATTTTTTTTTAGAACTCTCCACTTAATTATATACATATTTACAAAACTCTTTACCATTTTAGAATCCTCTTTAATCTGTCAATTTATGAACACTCTCTAATACCCTTCTACAATCCTCTCTAATTAGACCATCTCCAATGCAAAATGCTATTTTTGCATGTCAAATCTATATTTTGAGAGGAGCTACAGTGTCAAAATATTATATTTTAGCAATTCTGCTCCAATGATGCATTTCATCCAAAATGTTATTTTTTTGACACAACAACCATTATTTTTTAACTACTATTCCCAATTACAATTTTCAACAGCCATTTATTTTTATTTTTTTTGTGAGAGTATTTTATTTAGCTTATTTGCCTTATTAAAAATAAATAAATACAACAGACATATATATACACGCAACAGACATATACATAGATATACACACAACACTGACATATATATATAAACACAATTGACATATATATACATACAAGCACAACACCTAATTGGCAGCCTGAGAGAAAAGAGAGAAGGAAGAGAGCAATAACAGATTTGGTAATAGCTATATGTTGTATTATATTTGGCACAATATTTGGCAAAGTTATATTTTGGCAATCCATTTGACATGTCATTGGAGAGCCCATTTTAAACCACATGCTATATTTTAAAAATAGTAACCCAAATAGCAGCTCATTGGAGTTGCTCTTGCTACCAATTTATGCCAAGTCTCTAATATTTTAGAATCTGTCTTCTCTCAATGTAACACTTCACAATCTCTTCATACCATGTAGACACCACACAATGATCTTCTCTTGACTTGCCCAATCACATAATGAATTCTTGACTAGCGCAATCTTTTCGCAAAGGGCCAAAAGTGACCGTATTGTCACGCCCCGCCTATGGAGGTTGTGCCACGCAGGCGACACGCAGACGCTGAGGAGGACGCTGTATGGCAACTGCATGGCAAGTGGAGTTCTAGAGTCTTCCGGAGTAGTCTAGAGTTGTGTGGAAGATTCTAGATATGTGTAGTATATTCTAGAAGTGTGTGGAAGGTTCTAGAATTCTTCAGAATTGTGTGGAGTAGTATGGAGGGTTCTAGAATGTTGTAGATATGTATGGAGATGTGTAGAAGGTGGAAGAAGATTCAAGAGAATCAATCTCCACCGTTGGTTAGAATGCATCCTAGCCATCCATTAGGGATGGGGATGCCTATAAATAGGAGTAGGACTTCATTTTGCAACCAACAAGTCCTAGAGTGAGTCTTGAGAGCCTTGTAGAGAGCTTGAGTGCTAGCCTTGTACAAAGCATTCTTTGAAGTAATAGAAGTGTTCTTTCCTTGCCAACTTAAGTGCCTTAGTGTGTGTGAGTGTGCAAGCCAAGTGAGGAGAGGGCGGGGGCAACTACAACACTAGTAAGCGCACGAAGGGAGTGTGTTGGCTAAGGTGTGCACGGGAGTTAGGTTGACCAAGTACTTGCGAGAGTGGAAGTTGTTGGGAAACGTGCTAGTTTTAAAAACTTTTCGAGGGATTTAAATTCATAGATCTTGATTCATCACATAGAGACAAGTTTTATGCAAAAATAAAACATGATGTATCATTCAATTAAAAGATTGAATACTTACATCAAGGTTTGAGTAAACCTTAGATCTCTCCTCTAAAGTGAATGTTCTCACTTATTGTAGATCCCTTTTGCTAGACACCTTTTTCATGGATCTCCATCTTCTTGGTAATTGTTTTTGCCTTTAGGAATCACTCATAAGCTTCCATGAATGACCTTGGAAAACTAGGCTTGTGGGAGCCTCCATTAGATGAGAACATAAACCCTAATTTTCTAGAGAGAGAAAATTTATTCATTTTTCCTTCTCATAAAAATCACCCCCTAAAATATACATAGACCATGTATATTTATAGGCAACATAAAAATAAAGAAAAGGAAACAACAAATCCTTCTCCATCTCTAATTCATATGTCTCAAATCTAATATGATTCCAATATCAAGTTGGGCTATGAGTGAGAATCCATTGGGCCTATTATTTTATTGGCTACAATGAATTAATAATTGGCCCGGTCCATGGACCCAATTCAATTAATTCATAAATTAATTTCTACTCCACTAAAAGAAATTAATTGAACTCCAATTAAATAATAAATAACCTCTAAGTCAATATTGCACTTTGACCCCTCTATGCATAATTAGTTATCGGATAAATATAGCCATCAATCCGACTACTTAATTAATATATTTATTTTGGTACCTTTGATTATTTCTGGCTCGATCACAATAAAACATTTGTTTGACAAAAATAATAATTTAAATAAATAAATATATAATAAATCATTTTGTCTAAAAACACACGAAGGCCTTCGAATTTACTTTGTGATCAACCATAATCAATACAAAATAAATACAAGTAGCAATGATGCAAATATTGAAAATATAACCCTCTAACTATTAATTACATAACTACCCAAAGTGTCGGTCTAAGGATCCCGAAGAATCCGCCGAACAAATCAAAGTAATTATTAATTAATAAAAGAGTCTATACTTTTCTCATGCTTAAGAGTCAAATGCCATGACGGTGATAGGGAGTAATTGCATACGACGGCTCTCGCAATATATCTCAATCTAACGCGGATCCAGTTCAAGTCTTAATTAATTATGAGTCCATCCATAATTACCGACTATGAACAATTTATAATTACTATTTATATATCATGCATTGATTGTCATCACATACATATATATAAATATTTCTTGTAATTAACTGGACACTATCAATTTCATAGTGAATTGAAACATAATACATTGAATTCACCAATTATATAAATCATAAATATTTCAGATATGTCAGGAACATATGTCAATACAATCCAGATAGGAATTTGCTAAGCCAGGGCATATAAATCCCAACAGCTCCCACTTGCCCTCATAGCCAATTCAAATTGCACCTAACTCCAATGTTATCCAGATGATGATCAAAATTATTGATCAATG